TATGTCAGAAATATGTCAGATAAACGACATGTGTACGTATTCGGGCATTCGTTTCCCGCGCGGTTTTTGAGGTCGGCACGTAGAAGCCGTCAAACCGTGAGTCAGCTGATAAATGTTGATTTGCGGTATGATGTTTTTGTTGAAGGGCATCCGGGCCTAAGCTATAACAGAATCTTCAGTAGTGGGGATCACTACTTTAAGGAAATGAAACGTCATTCAGTGGACCTGTTGTGCATTGACCTCGGATCAAATGATTTATGTGGGATAGGGGGTACTCCTGCTGTTGTTGTACAGGACACCCTTCGGTTTCTTACCATGTTAGAGGACCAAGGGGTGCATCCAAGTCATCTCGTAATCCTGTCTGTGATTAGGAGGTCTCGTATTGACCGACCAGGACAAGTTTCAGTCACCACATTTAATCACAGGGTCAAACGATACAACGCCCTTTTGAACAAAGAGCTTGGGAAGCATCACCCAACGGTAAAGATGTACCATCAGCGAAAAACGAATCATCCTCAGTATATTTCAGGAGATGGGTGTCATCTCACAGACGAAGGCCTCATTAGATATGGCAAGGGCCTCCGAGAGGTAATTTTCAGCTGCAAAGTTTAGACCCTTAATTATATGTGGTGTGTGCCACTGATAGCTTGTTATACATGCAATTGCTCTACTTAGGTTAAGTGGTGCTTGTTCTTCGGTCAATGCTGAAGAGTAAGGGGTCTTTATTACCCTGCACCTTTAGACAAGTAATTATGGTTTAGTATTTAAATATTGTCCATTAGGGAGAATGATGTGCATTGTTAAAAGTTGAGTTGTTTAGATCAGCAGCGAAGTAGCTGTATACAGTATGTTGATATAGGAGGAGAGGATTTTCTTGATATTTAAACTTTTGTTTTATATATAAACATTTATATGTACTTTTATGATACCTTGTAATTGTTGACATCAAGACATGACAAGGGTCTTAAAGAGAATATTCTGTTGAAGTAGTATATTATGCCAACTGACAACCAGATTAGCGAAATGTATTTAGTGATGTGTCTTTCACTCCAGGTTGAAACATCAGCAAAACAAATTGTAATTTTTGGGGTGTTTAATGCAAACATTCACTCACTGTCAAATGACTTTGAAATCGACTTTTCTGGTTGGTTCAGTGGTTTAGGTTATCTTTCGGTTGTAGTCATCCCTTAATATTAAGTCGAAAGAGAAGGATGTTTACTCTAATTTCATAGCGCCAGCTTTATTTACATTGGTTTACCTCTGTAAATTGCAACGATTATACAGTTGTTACAATGTATTAAACGTGAATCAAGTTGTGGAAAATTATAAATCTGCTGGAAATCGGTATGAGAGTTAAACTGGAGGAAGCTCAATGAAACTTAATTAAACCAAGTTTAATGGTTTTCAGAAAGTCTGTTAAGTGAATTTCAGATCATGCCAAGTTTTGACATGAAAAACTAATGGCTGATGTTATTTCCGCTGAAGAAAAACGGCTGGGGTCTCAGGAAGCTAAACCAGCTTAAGTAAATTAGAACTGGGACATTGATCTGAGAAAAGATTGTGTTTTATTTACATTTTTATGCCTTGCTATAGTTTCAGTTTGAAACTGTGTTGTTGAAGTAAATATAAAATGTTAGCCTTGGTATAAAAGTCTGTTTTCCCAAGAGAAGGAAAATGATTGTTTACATGTGTGAATATCTAATATGATGATTTCCTGTGAAATAATTTCTGGAATGAAAAGTAGGCTGAAACCATTCGAGGCCGCATGGTTCGTAAAACAGGGAAAGTGTGGGAGAACGGGGTATTTTCCCCTTTAATGCATTGGATTGTGTAGACTTCTTCGAGTTGTGTCCATACTTACATGAAGTCCCTTTAATGTTAAGAACTGTATCTGGGCAGATGCCACTTAACCCATGTAAACAACTGCATCCATTCTCAACCATTGAAATATAGTGCTTGCATTTGCAAGCTTTGGAAAACATTTTGCTTATCAAATGGGAAATTCAGCTTTACATAATTGATTAATAATTCTGTTTGAATAGTTTATGGGGCATATTATAACTTTTGTTAATTAAGATAAACACTTACTAAGTGCGGAGTGATAAGTCCGCCCAGCTAGTACGAGTGTGTAACAACTTTTCAGGGTTCTCACTCTCTCTGCTTTTCGCTGTCGATGGGCTAAAAAGACGTGGAAGGTTGCTGGAAATTGGAAGCCAAATTCTTCTTTTTGGGAGATGATAGGCATCCCGACAGGATGCCAGAAGTAAGTTTATTGTTTATTCCTTCCGATGAGGGAACTTTAAGCTGAATGGCTTGATGATTTAAGCTGGAAAATGTGTGCTTTTGGGGGTGTACGAATGGCTGTTTTTCGTAAATAATAGTGCGTATCGTACACGTGCAACCAACTCGGCCCTATATTGTTTATTGCAGTAGGCGGCTGTGAGTGAGAGCAGTCTGGCTTGGGGGTTTTAATTTTCTGCAATACTGATGTTTCTACCATGTGCCAATGTTAATTGATGATCAATGAAGATGAACCAAGATAATTAAATGAGGAGATAATCAAGTACAAGATCAGTGAGTGCAGTCCAGAGTTGTTATTCCATCCCAAGGGTACACACCCTCAACCCCGAGGTGGAGTCCACACCCCCTCCCTGATAGGAGACAACCAGTTCCTATTCCATGACATATTCAAACTGATTGGATGTTTCCAAAGTGTCTTTCCCATTTGCAAAAGTTCCTTTTAAAAGCCCATGGGGGCATGCAAATTGTGATTTGTCCGGCGTATGCAAATTTGGGTATTTTTGTTGGACAATCTTAAAAGGTAGAACCTAGGAGCCTAGGAGATTTTTTTTAATTTCCGTTTAAGAGTAAAGATTTCCCTTTCAAGAACACCTAATTATTTTATATTCCCTGACGTGCCTTCATGTGTGCACCCCGCCCCCAATCACCCCTTACTTTTGTAGTAGCTTGACCTTCCCCGCCAACAACTAAAACAAAAATAGGTAAAATACCGACAACCTTCCAAGGATATCAAGTGTCTCACATCTTTCAAGTTTTATTTATTTTGTTTAATTCCTTAGTCTTATTGACATACAAATGTTTTAACCAATTCATACAAACAAATACAAAAGATTCCAAATGAGGAAAAAAGTTTGGCAGAAGGCCAATAAATTTGAGAAATTAATAATCACTTTATAATATCATAGATGATTATTACATAAGCAACGACTACATGACTGTACACGGTAAAGCCAGGTATTTGTATTTCGCCATTTTGTGAATAAGATTTTAAAAAGGGAAAATAAAACTTGGGAATGCCCCCCCCCCTCCCAAAAAAAATTCCCAGATTATTTTGAAACATTTCAGGACTATATTTTGTTTAATTTAGCTATTATGTGCAAAAAATATTTGATGCGAGGCAAGTTCAACACTCGATATAATTGCGTTGATCCTTTTGTGAGGTTAGTTAATTATTAATAAGAAAATGAAAAGACATGCAAAACCACCAAGAAAAACAATTGTGCATACGAAGTAAAAAATACAAGTAAAAAAAAGTGCAATGAAATAAATCACAAAAGGACAAACGCAAATGTAATTTGAGTGTCACTTATACCTGTTGCGATGCATTTTGATGGATAGAAGTTCCTGAACAGTTTATCTTTAAATTTTCCTAAAAATTAAACGTTCTTGTGTTTTCTAATAAATATACAATGGAAAGGAAGTCACGTTTTAGTTAAATCAACGTCTTGTTAAAAACGTTCAATTTAAATAAAGTTTGTTACATTTCTTCAGTTTTTAAACAATAAATTAATCTTTTTTGAAATCTTTCAAAACTCTTATTACTTAAATTGGTTTTCTTAAAAATGCACTTTCAATATCAAATTAAATTTATAGAGCAAAATTCTCCATTGTCAACTGAACAAAAAGCTGATAGAAAGCCTTAGGCGAGACCTCGTTAATAATTTACCGAGAAGATCCAATTGAATGCATTAAAGGTAAGGAGTATGAAATTAAATTAAATTATTAACTTAAAGATGCAATAATTTTGGATGACCCAGGACAGATCAAAGGAACATCCCTTCTCCCAGACATGTCACTGCTAAAAAGCCAGTGACAAATTATTAACTTTACAATAATTTTTCAGCAAGTTTCCATTATTGTCCATTGTTAACTGTCTGTTGCAGTATCCGGTTTAAGATTATTTTAGAGGCATAAATAATTTAATGAAATCAAAATTAGTTTTCATTTTATTTTAGTGTTGTTGCCTTAATGTATAACATTAATGACGTTGCATTATGCAGTCTGATTTATCATTTCATATTGTGCAAGCTAGTTTTTTTAACTCAAGTTTCCGATGAGGGCATCCTTGTTCAGTAGAGCAGCTTCGTCATTGTCCAGTCTCGTCCAAGCTTGGTGGTCCTCATGTCCTAAACATGACAAAATAACCAAGGAAATTAAAAAAAAAAATACATATATTAGGAAATCAAGCACTGTGGATTTCGTAGGAGGGACAAACTACGATCAGAGGAATAACAAATTATAATCCTCATACCCTGGTCTTTTTTCGTTTTCAAAGTAAACTCACCTCAAGAATCAGTAATGGCCAGGCCAGCAGGCGGTGTCAGTCCATCATCGGTCCTCCCAGCTTACGATGGCTTGAGGCAGGCTCATCCTCATCTCAGTAAGACAATTCTCTCATCAGTCAGTGGTCCTCATTTCTCTGCAAGGATTCAAAGGACGAAAAAAAAAATGAAATATTATTAAGAAATATGTGCAAGGAGAAAGAAAACATCGATTTTTACCCCACAAAGCAACACAGCGCTATACCAGCACTCGATGTGAAAGGAACACAGAAAAGCGCCAATCACCAATTTTGAGTTCTGTGACTAAGAGGAAGCCTACATGTAAACTAACTTCAAGAATCAGTAATGGGAAGCCCAGCAAGCAGGTCATCCGTTCATCTGTCGGTCCTCCTCCCTGCTTCCGGTTCCTCGGGATTCTGATGAGGCTGTCGGAGCCCCGACGATGTCATGAGCCAGGCTCAGCCTCATCTCAGTAGAACAATTCCCTCATCAGTCAGTGGTCCTCACTTTGCTGAAAGGATTCAAATAACAAAAGGAAACATTTGAATTATTGAGCTGTATTCGTGCCAGGGCTCGAAAGGGGAAAGAAAACATTGAATTAACCCCACAAAGCAAAATCCTGCTACCAGAACTCGTTTGTGGACGAACATAATAACAGAGTAAGATCGCCCATTTAAAGGGAATATACAACATTTGCAAACATCAAAAAACAAAACTGCCAAATTATTATGAAAAATCTTACTAGACTGTTAGTTCACGACAGTCTAAAAGCATCCTGTAAAATTATGGCACCTTGTGTGCTGATATTTTCAAGAAAAGTGATTTTTTTTGTGTCATTTTCCAACGCTGGTCGGCCGACCAGCGTTGGAAAAACACTGGCTTTTTTTCAAATAGTGCCCCCGGTTTGCCATATTTAGTTTGTCTGAATTTTGTTTGCAATTGATTACACATCTATGAATAGATACAAGCCTTCTAGACTGGTACCCTGACCTTATAATTCCCTGACGTCTATAAATTGCTCCATTCCAATTCAAGTAGTGTCAGGGAACCAGACTAAAAAGAACATGATTGTTTTCTTGATTTTTCCAGAACTTACCGATCACAACACTTCAGCAAGTCAGTGTAACAATATTTGCTATAAATATTAATCCCCAAATCCATCCGTTTACAGCAAAAGCAAATGCTGTATATTCCCTTTAAATTAGCTCTGTGACTTGATTGTTCCTGTTAAAAGGAGGCCTAAATGTAAACTAACCTAATAATCAGGAATGGGAAGCCCAGCAAGCAGGTCATCCGTTCATCTGTCGGTCCTCCTCCCTGCTTCCGGTTCCTCATGTTTCTGTTTAATAAGGCTGTTGGAGCCCTGAAGATGTCTTGAGGCAGGCTCATCAATCCCAGTAGAGCAATTCCCTCATCAGTCAGTGGTCCTCATTTTTCTGAAAAGATTCAAATGACGAAAGAAATCATTCAATTTATTGAGCTGTAATTGTGCCTGGGCTAGAAAGGGGAAAGACAACATTGAATAACCCCACAAAGCAAAGCCCCACTACCAGAACTCGTTGTTTGTGGACGAATATAGAAGAGCGCCAGATCGCCCATTTTGATTAGTTCTTGATCGTTTCTGTTTAAGTAGGCTACATGTACACAAACCTGATAGTCAGTAATGGGAAGCCCAGCAAGCAGGTCATCCGTTCATCTGTCGGTCCTCCTCCCCGCTTCCGGTTCCTCGAGTTTGTGTGATAAGGCTGTTGGAGCCCTGACGATGTCTTGAGGCAGTCTCATCAATCTCAGTAAAGCAATTCCCTCATCAGTCAGTGGTCCTCATTTTTCTGAAAGGATACAAAAGAAAACATTTGAATTATTGAGCTGTATTCGTGCCAGGGCTAGAAAGGGGAAAGAAAACATTGAATTAACCCCACAAAGTAAAGCCTGCTACCAGAACTCGTTGTTTGTGGAAGAACATTATAACAGAGTCAGATCGCCCATTTTGATGAGTTCTGTGACTTGATTGATCCTGCGAAGAGGAGGCCAACATGTAAACTAACCTCAAGAATCAGTAATGGGTAGCCCAGAAAGCAGGTCATCCGTTCATCTGTCGGTCCTCCTCCCTGCTTCCGGTTCCTCGGGTTTCTGTGTGATGAGGCTGTTGGAGCCTTGGAGGGTTGATTTTCGTCCAGACAAAGCAGCCTAGCTCATCCATGCAGTCTCAACTTTTAGATCATCAGTTTCTTTGAAGAAAGCTGCAACTCTTTCCTAAGTGAACAGGGTTACGAAAACGCTGGGCCTAGCCCATTTGTTACTGAAGTGAAATATTCCAAAGCAGTATGTCTAAGCCTACTTGTAATAAGGCCACTTGTTACCAAATAGAAACTAAACGATTCTACCCATGTTTCCACTTTTTATTTTTAAAAACAGACATGATCTTCTTTTGTCATAATGCACACAAACATGTGCCGACACCGATAACGGCAGGTTGCCAATAAGTTGTACCCTTTCATAATGTACTTTTTTTTGGTGGGGGGGGGGAAATTAAGTCTTTTTGAAGGCACTTCTCGACAATGCCAACAATTTTGATGTTTTTGAAATGCCGCTGTATATAACTGAAATTCAGTCATTTTCTAAACAGATATTTTGTTCATTATGGTGTGATATTTTTTCTCGTAATTTCGTCAATTTCATTTTCTTTTGCTGCCGTCATTTTCCCACCGTTTGCCAAAATTCGCTTTCCGACTTTTTGAGGCAAGTACATGTACATGTATTTACTTCTCTCGTTGCGGATGATTAATTTTTATGCCGTTATTTTCGTCATTTTGATTGTTATTTCCATAACCCATTTTGTTTACTTTGTGGCAATAAAAATGATACTGATTTCGGGTATTTTTACTCTCACTAACGCTGTGATGTTTTCCTCGCATTATTTTCATCATTTTCCTAGCGTGTAGGCCTACACGTAGAAAGCGGAGTGATTTTGTTTTTTTTTCGGAAAAAAAATTCGCTGACGATGTGATTTTCGCTACAATTTATTTTTGACCGATTTGAAGTTTGTTTTAAGTTTTCGTCATACGCGTAGTCAAGTAAATATCCGGGTGGGTATTATTTATTCCCATACTGCCTAACATTTTAAAGTTGCTTAACGATTTGACATTTTTGTAGCCGCAACGATTAATTTGATTTAAACTGTTTTAATTGTGTCTATTGTCAGAGACAACAGACGGATACCATTCAAAAATCACACCACACAGAGAGCAATGCACACGAAGGCAAAAAATCAAACATGCAACATTTACAATGAAACAAAATACAATCTACTTTTGAGTTTTTCCCCCAAAAGTCATTCTCTCTGTAAGCATTCTTTTACTCACAGATAATTTTATCTTTAAATACTTAATAATGAACCGAGCTTAAAAGCTCTTCACAGAAAAAAAAGTCTTTTATATAAATTTATGCAAAGTATAATTAACCAAAGTTATGACTTTTGATTTTACTACGATCATTAAAATATGGTCAACTGTGCCCTCACTGCTCACAGACTAGCGAATTATAGACAATGCGGCGCTTTTACAGACGCTGTTAATCCCACATTTTTGACCTTTTAGTGTTACTATAAGAGCGTATATGTCACCTAAACAGAGAGCTCATTTAGGAATTAGTGTTAATTATTAACCAACATTTTCTCTGTGGTAACGTCCGTCCGTGTTTTTTTTTAAATGGTTTAAGTTTTAATGTTCAAGTTCTTCTGAAGGAAGGGGCCTCTTGGAAATCGGCGCTACTAATATGCACCGAAGAGGGTATCCCTTACAAGTGACACTGCACCAGGCATGGTCACTGTCAATTGCCGATGGCCTAGATTTTATGAATCTTGTTTGTTCTTAAACATTTTATACAATTATAAAGAAATTATATCGTCGTTGGTGGACAACACCAGGCATTGCCACTTTCTGTAGTTGTTTTACTAAGTTTGTTTAATTATTGTTTTGAGTTGGGCAAAGTACCAGCCAATGTCCGTATAGAGGGCAGCATTCCAGTTGATCGATAAAACATCACAAAATGACTCTCAATCAATTACAAAATCGACTATAAATTTGCGAGTGAAGTTTCTTAATAGCGAATATAAAATAAAATACACCAGTACTTTCAAGTTTAGGGGGACAGTGTTAATCTTTAGACTGATTTTCGTTTGCATTAAGTTAGTGTTATTTTTATACTTTTTTTTATTTATTTGTTTAGAAAACTTCTAAACTCCCCATCGCAGTGCCTGCAGGCTCAATGTGCGCATGCTCGCAGCGGGCTATGCTTGCTCCCTAATTTTCGTTTGCTTCATTTTCCCCAACACTGTTCATTGCACTTTGCTAAAACAGTTCCCTAGATTTTATCACTTCGAAGTATGGGACACGAAATCGCGCGATTACGCAGGTACGCGGATATGTGAATATGCGGATACGCGAGTACGTGGGTACGAAGACCAAGAGGAGATGAACATATTGTTCTTATTTAGGGCCTACTTCTATACATATGACAATCATAACGTACGTACGTGATACATTTAATTTATCACATACGTACGTGATAATATAATATTACGTACTAACGCAATATTAGTATTATTATTGCGTACATACCTGATAAATAAGTACATATTACGTACGTACATGTATTGCATATGTAAGTGATAATACGTGTATCCTTAAACGAGTATACGTTGTGTATACGTACTTAATAATTATCACGTGGGCCCTACGTACGTAATAATTATCACGTGAGCCCTACGTGATAATATTACCTACGTACGTGATAATATTCAAGTGACAATAACACATACGTAATAGTATTATGAAAAAAAAAACCTTAATAACTCCCATGTCCCTTCATGGTCTTCGTACCAAACCGTCTCCGGTCTAGCCACAAAAAACACACACGTGTTTGCCGAACATTACGTATGAATATGCCTTACTGTCGAACGGAAAAGCGATAGAACGCGGTGCGGAGGTTTCTAAACGCCTATGAGAATATTTCGACGAATCTAAATGCTTATAACTATTATCCTAGCACTCCTACAGATCCAGCAGCTGCTTTGCTTTGCGGATGCTGCATAATGCACGCCTGCAGCGTCTGCACTCCTCCCAACTTGACCTACAAAAACCGAATTAATTGTTTGCATGACTTGCACCAACGTTTGCACAGAATGTTGACTAGGTTTTATATTGTTTCAATTTATTTTTTAGTTTCTGAGACTGAGGTGGAGAACGTCTTTTAACTTTCTCCATAAAGGGAGTTACATAAGACCTGCAAGTCAATATGACAATGAAGGAGACGCTGTCACAGGTTTATCATTGAAAACACTGGTGTAAATTAGCGAGTTTAATTATTCAGGGACACCAATTTGGAAAAAAAAAAATCTTCCACTGGAATGCTACCCTTCAACTGTTCCACGTGCGAACGCAATGTCACTGCACGTATCAAATTCCTATGCAAATACGTGCGAACACAATCTCACTGCACGTGTCTGACGAATTCTTTCGAAATTGTATTTTCTCCCCACGTGCGAACACAATGTCATTGCCCATTTCAGACGAATTTCTATGCAAATGTTATACTCAACGTGCGAACGCAATGTCACTGCACGTAAATTATAAATTCCTATATGCAAATTAACACACGTGCGAACACAATGTCACTGCACGTGTCAAATTCCTATTTGCATTGCATTATTATTGAATAAAATAATCATTTTCGTTAACCTTAATTCTGCTGTAATTTATCTTCCATGTAAACGTTTTTTAACATCCAATGAAATTTAAGGAGTTCTCTGTTTCAGGTGACAAAACTCTACACATGTACATTAATCAGAGACATGTAACGTACCTCTTTCTACTCTTGAAGACATCGCCCCTCTTGGTGTTGATCTTGGAGAAAATGGTAACGATGTCTTCGTTAATACAATATAAATTGGACACAATGCGCACGTTCAATGATAATAAACAATTTCATACAGAGCCAAAATGATAATTTTGAACAGTGTAATGAGTTGCATGCAGTGAGCGTGAGGAGCACAACGACAGTAATGAAGGCCTAGCCCAGCACCGAAACAACAGCTTAAGATAAAGCCCGTGTACGCTAGGTCGCTGTACCATGGTGATCAGCGAGGCATGAATGTAACAATAGGGCTGGAGTCTGAGTGGAAATCTTCTAAACACGTATTTGCATAATGTGCATTCAGCACAAGCCTGGGTTAGAAATGAGAAACGGATAGAATGCTAATGACGTAATCCCGATGGGCGATTACATTTTGGTCACGA